AGGCTCCATGACCATTGTCCGCTTATCCATGTCCCCATCTGGTTGACAGTATTATGCCTCCCTGTTGATAATACAAATAGCCTAGGATATAGGTTAGACAAAGGACTTGTTCCTAGCCAATTATCATGCCAAAAACACACACGCTTTCCTTCTCCTATACTTGACTTAAAATTATCTTCCAACCACCCTTCTCTCCTTGGTATTAGATCATTTAGTTTGCAAATATCTTGCCACCATTTTGACCCTCTACCCTTACCCTCTTTTACCCAGCTCATCCAATTTCCACCCAGATTCCCATATTTACTTCTAATCACTCTATACCATAAGGAATTTGAGTTCCCTGCCAGTTTCGCCCACCACTTGCCCATTAGAGCTGCATTAAAATGCCTAAGGTCCTTTACACCTAGCCCTCCTTCATCCTTTCTTCTACATATCGACTCCCATTTAACCCAATTTATTTTTTTATGCTCTTCCCAACCCCCTCATAGGAATTGCCTTCTAATTTTATCCAAGATAGACAACGTACTTTTTGGAAGAAGATGAGTTGACATTTGGAACACGAGTAATGAAGATAGCACAGAGTTTATGAGAGTAATCCGACCCCCCATAGATAGTTGCTGGCCTTTCCACCTTGACAGCTGCTTGTGAAAAGACTCTATCAATTCCTTCCAGAATATTCTACTTCAAGGGTTCCCTCCCACCCGAATACCCAGATATTTGAATGGTATTCCACCCTTTTTACAGTTCAGCAAATATGCCATCTTTGCTAACCATACCTCCTCCACATTGACTCCCATTAATTGACTCTTTGCATAGTTGATCTTCAATCAAAATGAAAGCTCAAAACTTCTCATGATACATTTTACCGCCCATATATTGTCCTCCGTTGCTAATCCCATTAACAAAGTGTCGTCGGCAAACTGTAGATAGGATATATTTATCTCATTTCCTCCTATTTGAATTCCTTCCAATAGGCCCTTTCTCACTGCCTCCATAATTAAACCATTTAGCCCTTCTGCCACAATCAAAAACAAGAATGGGGATAAAGGATCCTCCTGTCTCAATCCTTTTTACCAATGTTTTAAAAATCGGATTGGATCGGTCGGTTGAATCGGTCAGACCGATATTCGGTACAATAAATGGTTCAAGTTAAGGTTTAAAACCGATGAAATGGTTGAACCATTCAAACCGATGAAACCGTTTGGACCGATACAAACCGTTCAACCGGACAGTTTAAATCTTTTGGAAAATTTCCCATAAAGTTGTCATCTGCAGGCTTCGAACACAAGACTCATAAAGCATTTTCCAACACCTCTGCCACTGGGACACGACCTCTGCAATCGAAAACGGTGGCTTAAAATTTTATTTATTTTATGTTTAGGAAGAAAAGAATCGCACTATAACTTACTCAAACTTTCTTCTCTTCTATAATTAA